GTCCAAGTCACTGGTGAAGATGTTGAACAGTGTGGGCCCAAGGACTGAGCCCTGGGGGACCCCACTTCCCACATCCCTCCAGGTTGAAAATGACCCATCCACTACTACTCTCTGGGTGCAGCCCTCTAGCCAGTTGGCGACCCATTTGACTCTGTGGGTTGTCAACACCACAGCCCCCCAGTTTCTTAATGAGAACGGGGTGAGACACAGTGTCAAAGGCTGTCTGAAAGTGCAGGAAGACTATGTCCACTGCTACCTACATGTCTGTATAATTCTCAACATAATGGGTCCATTCTGTTACTAAGAACCAACACTGTGACAAAATGTTCCTAGAGTGTCTAAGATTTTGGTTTATACATTCATAAATTTGAGTCCTTGACAGTTTAAAAAAAAAAAAAGAGAGAGAGAGAGAGAACAAAATAACTTGATGCACCTGTAGATCAGCTCATATATAGCAACAGTATAAATATATCTCCTAGGATTCCCCAAAGTCTAATACCACTATTGCACTATTATATATATGTGTACTTACACAGGACACTTGAAGTATAACTGACTGACACATCTGATACATTTTAGTAAAAAAATTCAGGAACTTTGACCCCTCCCAACACACACTGCAAGAAAGAAAAACAGTACCTGTTTACATAGTTTTCTACATTTTTATCATTTTCTTCAGTATTCTATTCAAATGCTGCTTTTTCTTATCTAGCTAACCTGCTTCTCATTGGATTTGCATGACCTAGAATGGTGGTTTTCAACCTTTATTCATTTGCTGACCCCTACAAAAATGTTGAATGGAGGGGCAGACCCCATTTGAATTGTAAGTGTGGGTATTCACATATGTCTGATTGATCATAGTCATTTTTTATGGACACTTCAGACACAGTCTTTGGACCCCCAGGGGTCTGTAGACCACAGGTTGAAAACCAGTGGGCTAAAACATTTATTTTTACTTGCTTTCTCATTTTCAATGATCAAGTGATATAGCATGCTCTTTTGCTGTTTTTTTCCCCATCCTTGCAAATCCTACATTTGGGTGATGAATGGTGGGCATGAATACTGTTAATAAATAGTTTTAGATATTACATTTGAAAAGTATACTGGTGTGGAGACTTTAATGGTTGCCAAGTAAATGAATAGATGAAAATTGGATGACTTGTTTATTTTTTGTGTATTTAACCTGTCAGTTCATGCGAACATTTGTGTTCATTCACATTCTTGCTGTCTAATTTTTAATTTCCAGGGGTCGTCATGTGTCAGGAATCATTTAACATTACTTGTGCACATGAAATGTAACCCTGTGGTGGTTTTGGTTGACTTTCAAAATACAAAATGTAACACAGTAACAGTTTTATGAGGGATCTGAGATCAGTTCTAGTAGGTGGAAAAATGCCTATGTTTAATACTGAACTGTCAATTTTATTAACCTGTGTGTTTTGAAATGCTAGGAAAACTGTCAAAATTCAGCCTTGTCAGAGCATTTTTCCCCAAGTGATGTGCATTTAAAAATAACACTGGCGCTAATTTTGCATGTTACATTTCCATGGTAAGAAATAGAATATATAATGTGATAAATAAACCCCAACTGTGGGACTGATAAATTATATTTTTTGTGTTATATGCTTTAGAAGGTAAAGAAAGACTAGGTTAGTAAAGTCTCTTCCAAGTTTCCTTTTTCAAGATTTGGTCCATAAAAAGTGCATTTTTTTGTTTAAAAAGAAAATAAGAGTGGTATCTGTTCTATTTTAGCTAGGTAGATGGTGGTTTATTTTTGGTAGTTTTCACTTTGAGTTCTCTTTGTGCTCTAGAAAGTCCTCATTTTCTTGCTTGCTTTTTATGCTGCATTCTGTCAGAGAAGCAATAGGACCCTCCTAGAAATTAATTTTACAGCACTTATTTATTTTTTATTTGAAAATAACTTCTCGTACCTCACAAATGAGTTTTGCTATTTCTACTAATCTTCTCTTCCGAAGTCCTGTAGAGGAGGTATAATACAAAGCAATTTGACATTGTTTTGCAAATGTGATAAGTAAATCTATAAGAATTTTAGTTTAAAAGCTCTCACCAAACCTGTTTTCCATAGCAGAGGGTGATGTCATGGTCCTGTGGTTAAATTATTTATTAGAATGCCCAGAAATTTTATCTTATAAAAAGTCTGTAAAAATATGTGCATGCATGCATGCTCATATCCACTGAATTTTAATAAAGCAGAATTGCTTCATCCTTGCATTCAATGCTCGAGTTTCTTTGCTAGAGTGTTGTAAATAATAGTAGATATATTAACATATAAGGTCGGTCATTATTGATTACTATCAGATAGAAAAGTAAGAGGAACTGTAAACTATAAGAAAGTTTTATTCATGGGGGTATTGAAATATACTTTGAAAGTTTCCTGATAAAGAGACATCCTAGATATAAATTGTAATGATAAAAATTCTTATTCTTTTTTTTCTTGTGTTTATGATACTTTTTTTTTCTTGGTAGATTTGAATAATTCTCAGGGGAAGAAACTTGCTTTCTCTCCCATTGTTCTTTCCATGGTGTCACCTTCCCCCAGTATTGCAGGACAGTGCAATTCTATAACAGTAGCTGCTATTCTGGAAGATCTCAGTACTTCACGACCTATAGTCACATAGCAGGCGTTGTCAACTGCGGGTTCATGGAAAGGTGTTGGGGGTACATGCAGGTGGGCAGGCAGGGACGGAGTGCTGCCACCCACCATCCCACGCTGCTGCCTCCCAGGAGCAGGGCTTGGGGCACAAGGATAGCGGCTCCCTTCTGCGGGCCATACCGGCACTGCCTGGCCTGCTGGACATTGGTGTGGGTGGGGCAGCTTGCATGCAGCAGCTGCCATCCACCATCCCATGCCGCTGAGTGCAAGCCTCCCTCACCCCCACTTGCATTTGGCTGCCACCACCACAAGGGGTACACTCCTTAAAAAGGTTGAAAACCCCTATCATATAGCAACATTAAAATGCAAGCAACTTGTGATTGGAAAGTAATAGCTAGATAAACATCTGACCCTGGGAACACCAAGGGAAGTCCTCATGAAGATTTAATATAGTTTTTACTATCTATATATAAAGGAGACAGCAGTTTTTAAGGGTTTCTGTGGAATCCCTATATGTTCTTGACACTATTCATCTACCCTGCATGGAAAAAAAAATGCTAGAATAACCTCTGTTGTTAGGTGAATTTCTTTTTCAGGGAGTCTGATTATTTTACCCTTGATATTTATATTATTAGTCCAATATCTTCTTAACATAGAAATTCAGTAAATTCCTTACTGTTCCTTTGGACAGGATCCATAGAACTTTACAATACTATTTCAAAGTTTCAAGCACTTTTAGCATTAATGAAAATTAATTCTGAAGAACTTTTAGATACTTTCTCATTTGTCAGTCCAAATATTGGCTTTGCATTGCATTGCTCCCTAGCAGTCTTATGTTTTGTTTTCCAGAGATGCGTGATAAAATGAGGAAATGGAGGGAAGAAAACTATCGTAACAGTGAGCAGATAGTGGAAGTGGGAGAAGAGTTAATTAATGAATATGCATCCAAGCTCGGGGATGACAGTAAGTCAAAATTGTTTAAAAAACATTCACTGACTGTAGCTTTTTACTATATGCATCTGGTTTTGTTTATTATCCTGCTGTTCTCCTGTTACAGCCTCCATATTATTTTATTCTTGCATTACCTTTCTGTATGTGCTGTTGTCAGTTACATATATTATTTTCTCAGTGTAATAGTCTGCTAGAATTCCCAGCCCTTGGTTTGCTTCCCAAATATGGGGTGTGGAGGAAGTAGGTGGAAAAAATTATACCTAATTGAACACTTAGATTGGCACACAAGTCATAAGAATACTTTATGAGCATTTGGCAAAGGTTTTTTATCTAGCTGTCACTCATTCGGTTGTCTGCTCTTCAGAGAGATGGCAAAGAATGCAAGAATATTTTTTATAAGGAGAGGAAAAGTTATTCATTAAGTCATAAGTGATACCATGTTGTAGAAATTAATAAAAAGGCTGTTTTTATTATAGAATTGCAGTTGTGATGCTATAGTTCAGGATGTGCCTGGGTTTCCGTTGTACATAAAATGACTTTTCAGGGGATTTTATCTAAATAATGCTAATTCTCACTGGACAGAAACTTGGCATGCAGTGTTTCAGACCAGAAGGGAATTATTTAGAAATATGTCACAATAATACAATATCACTTTTTTATATAAGCTCAATATAAAACATAAAGGAAGAGAGTTCTTCAGGTTTTCATATGAATCTCATACATGCAGGAAGTGATGCCTGGATTTGTTTTTAATGTTCATTCCTCTTCTTGCATCTTTCCTTTCTATAATTTGGTTAGCTTAATAAATTTTCCTTTTGATTCTTTAATTATTGTCACCCATTCTTCTATGGCTGCTGCTGGGTGTTGCAAATATAGTGATGAAATATACAGTAAAAGTTCTGTTATCCGGCATCTTACAAGCTGGCATGCTCCACTAACCGGCATGCTGGCTTGTAAGATAAAGTGAAACGGGAAGTGCCCACCGTGGCTCAGGGCAAAGCAGCCTGCACTGCCAAGCCCCGACGGCCGGGGGGCATAACAGGCTGTGCAGGACCTGCCTCCCTGCCCCGCGGTGAGGGTCAGTGATGCCGCAGGAGGGGCGGAGGGATGCCCCAGATGCGGCGTGAGAAGCGGCAGCCGGGACCACTCAATTAACCGTCATATTTTGTTATCTGGCATCCCTCGTTCCCGGGGGATGCTGGATAACAGAGATTTTACTGTATTTGCTAGCTGAAGTCGCAAAGATTCTCAACAAGTCCATCTCTGTTCACTTTTAAAAAGATAGACTTTTTTTCAAGCACCCAGAAACAAAAATCTGAAGAGATACATTCCTAAAAAGGCCTTGCATTTGTTTTCTTACAGACCAGGAGTCTTTTAATGTGGCATGCTCCCAGAAACTGTAGAGCCGTTTCCCTTACTATGGCATTCTCTCTAGTTTTATCTTGCAACTTTGCACCTATGATTTTTGTTTGACTTTCTTTCAGTGAGAGGGACTTCTAGTGCTCTCCAAAATAAATAGTATATCTCTTGGAGATTAGTTGCGTGGATAAGCTAAACATAGCTTTGTATCTAAACCAGATCCTTGTGTAAAATGTAGTAGCTGTGAGAGTAAAAGTGTGGGTATAAAAGCTATATACCTAAAGAAGAACCCTGTACAAATGGTATCCCTACTGTAGCTGTTGTAAATGTTCCCCTCTGGGCTGGATAGCGTGGCCCTGTACACTAAATCAGGTTGACACACAGGATCAGAGGTTGGGCACAAGGTTGGGCTGGCGCACGGGATCATAAGAATATAAGAACTGCCATTTACTGGATCAGACCATAGGTCCATCTTGCCCAGTATTCTGTGTCACACAGTGGTACAGCATGGATGCTGAAAGGGAGAGTGAACAAGGGCATGGCTAGGGTATTTTCCACTTCCTCTCCCACTTGCAGCCTCCAGGTTTAAAGGTCCCATGCCCCAAACCTGTGTGGGATCTAGCCTGCAGACTGACCTCGTACTGCTCTTCTAACCTGCAGGGCTGGAACATTGAGTATCGGTAGTCTAGATCATTGTTGTATAGGATTAAAAATGCAAAAAATAGAAGAAATCTAAATCTTTGGTTTTGAAGTCCTGGAAAGTCAGTAACAGAAATTAGGAAGAAATGTACTCTGATAAAAAATTTTTTAAAAACAACTACCTGTACAACGGTTCTTGTCATACACATCTAATACTAGTCACTGCCTGAAACAGGATACCAGTTTAAGTGGACCAATGGGCTACTTTAGGTGACAGTTCTTAAGTCCCAAAATAATATTGTGTTCTTTTGGGTAACAGGATTATTAAATGGAATATTTTGAGCATTATTTTGTCTTTATTACCATGGCTGGGAAGCAGAAAATCTTTTCTCCTCCTAAGATTTGTTATTTTTATAATAATACTTCATACAAAAATAGTTAACTTTGCAGTATTGTTTTTTTTTTTTTACACTTTATGGAAAGCCTGGGTTACTTGTCTTCCGTGTGTTGGAAGGATCCTGCAGCATGCTAAGTGTTCTTAACTCCCATTTTCTTAAATTGAAGGACACCTGATACCTCACAAGGTGCTCTCTGTTAATTTTATTCTTTTTTCCCCTTTTCAGTTAATGTACTGAGGTGTACTGCACTGTCTCTTACTTTGTACAGCGCCTTGCACGGCTTAGGCTTGTTATAAGTCACATGCTTGGCATTGCTTAAATCAAATTATGTATTTGTTTGTGATTTTTAAGTAATTCCTTTGCCTGATGGAAGATGGTGTTATTGATGGGGATTTAGGGTATTGAAACAGTTAAAATTATTTTTCTTCTGAGTAAGAGTAGCTACTCTCCAGATCTGGACACAGTGCATTTCATAATGTGTTCTGTTTAGAAAACTCTAGATATAATGTTAGGAAAAGCAAAGAATTAGAGCTTTTCACCTTTTACCATGTCAGAAGGTACTTTATATTACTGAAGGCAATAAAACTGCTTAAATGTACTTGTAATTAATTCCAGCAGTGTGTTTAAAATGTCCTCGTTTCAGTAATGATCTGCAGGAGTGGTAGGGAAAAATGCACAGAGACAGAATTCATTAATCTTATTTACATTTTAGGTGTTTCCCATCATTCTGAAAATCAATTATCCACATTTAATGTCTCTTTTGTGTCTAGTTTGGATAATATATGAACAGGTGATGATTGCTGCCCTGGACTGCAGTCGGGATGACTTGGCATTGGTAAGTATTCAAGCTGAACTTTAAATCAAACCTTAGATTTTCTTTTTGGGGATCTGTTCCAGATAGCCCTTTAGACAGTTATAAGATATTAGAAACTATGTAGCTTGGACTTAAAAAATCTCAAGAAATATGCTGGGAAGCAACTGCCTCTACCCACGCTACTGTGTAACTTTTTGTTTAGACAAAGCATGTCTTTTTCAATAGCTAGGAAAATTATTTACAGCGACTCTAATGTGGGCTGAATGTCAGGAATAATATTATTGCTGCCATATTGTACAGAGAATACTTGTTTATTGAAAACCTTTCAAATTGTATCAGTTTTTAAAACACTTTGAGGTAATGTATCAGTGCCATGCATATGAATTTAGTTGCCTGATTGCTATTAATGCTGACAGGAGCAATACAGCTAAATATATGCATAATAAATTGAGAAGGCCAATTTGTGCAATTCAGGCTTTTAGTATTTAGTGGTAATGGAAAAAAAGTGGTTGTGTTCTATTTTGCTCTTTTATGATGTATGAAAATGGCATTACAAACCTAAACTTTTTTGTTCTTTGACTATACACCTTTGGTTTTTATTCTTTCATTACCTCTGCTGGTTTGTCCTAGAGAGGAAGAGCTGCCACTGCAGCTACAGTTGGAGTTATAACCATCAGTGATCACCTCTTCCAAATCTTGCCATCTCTTTGTTTGGCGGGAGAACATATTTTGCTGTAAAGAATTTATGGGTATTCAGTTTTGAACGGCAGTTTGTAATCTGATTTTTATTTGGATGCATACAAATCACAATGTAAAGAAGAAAGGATTAGGTAGGATTCTAATCACCATTGCTATTGATTCAAAATGCAAATGTTAGTATAAACAAAAACACTCAGCATCTAGGGAGGGGGAAAAAACTTGAACTATCTCTGCATGCTAATTTTGCTTCCAATGCAACCTCTTCCAGAAAAGCCTGGGAATCTTCTTCTTACTTCTTCAGCAATCCCTTGCAGTTGAGGATGATTGTCTTACCTGTGTCCAAAGATGGCTGATGATGAGGCTTATTCGGGATCACCAGACTCCACTGCATCTCATCTGGGACATTTTTCCATATGGGGTGGATGGCGCTTGATTCTTGATTTGGTATTTTTGACTGCAGTAAAGGTGATCCCAGTGGACACTTATCCAGTCAGGAAGAAATACAGAATA